TTCCCAATGAGTAATAACTATGAGTTGTGAGCCACATGACACTAGATCAGGCGTAAAACCATTTGTGAATCCTGGTCAATGTTAAAATTGATAATAATTTTTCCTTAGAGATGGGTTGATTAACTCCTTTGACTAAAGAGGTTAGGATTCATGACAAATTAAATGATAGGAAGATTACAATCTTGATTGGGTTTCTAATTATTTCTTAAATATTTGCTTTTAGCCAATATTAATATTTTCTCTTCTTCAAATCAAATTATTGTTACTAAAAGAAGAATATTATAAAACTGATATACTAATTTTGAATCAGAAGTTCTCTCTCTCGATCTAGAGAGTGTATAACTATAGTAGCTTGTGCCTGTGAGAAAACTCAAACCATAATATAAAATTGTCAATGAGGCTAATATCTCTGGGCAATGCTTTGTCTAAAAATTCACTCCTTTTGAAAAGTTGAATTTAGATTACTTGAGTATGAATACAATTTGATGGGTATTTTCAGGGCTTGTAGGGATTGATATTCATCTTTTTTTTATTCCATAAAGAGTGTAAATCATCTGCACTCGTGAGTTTGAAAATTGCCATTGTTCTATTTTCCTTTATGTATTTTGTTTTACAGAATATAAATTTAAATAAAAAAATGAGCCCGCTTATATTTATGGCATTTTTAAGGCAACGGACTTGGGTGATGGAGTGATGTAGGCAAAGGGGAGTCAAAACATTTTGTATTATAATTTTGGAGAGCTCTAGTTCCTTTACTAGAATCAGCTTATTAATGTCTAGTAGAGAACCTTTTCAGCTCATAAATTGAGGTTCATTCCCACCATTTGCTGCCCCTTTGGTTCCCCCACCTAGCTCTCCTTCCCATGGTTTATTCCTCCCCCTTTTATTGCTTGTTCCGATCCCCTAGCTGCTGTTCTGGTTCCCTTTGGCTGCTGGTTCCGATTCCCTGGCTGCTAGTTCCGATCCGCTCAACTGCCCCTTCGGTTCCTCCCTTGGTTGCTTGTCCCGTGGCTGTTTTCCCTGGTTTTTGTGTGGCTGTTTGGGAGCTGTTTTGGAATAAATGCAGGTTTGTTTGGGTGTTGTTTTGGACTGAACTTTTGTCCTTCTATTTCCCATGATTTAATGGGTTTAATTAATGATCTTATGGGTTGTTTGGATGCCCCTTTTCTCCTATAAATATATGGTGTCTTGTGAATAAAAATGGGTTGTTATGATGCAATTTTTGGATCCATAAACCTGAGGGTTTTTCTTCTTTCTTGGAAAGGCTTGCGAGCTTGTTCCACCTCTTCTCCTCTTCTTCTAGGAAAGTTTGCGAGCTTGTCCTCTCTTCGTCTTGGGCTTCTTACCTCTTTCTTTTCTCCGCAAGTTCGATGTCAATTGTATCTTTCTTCTCAACGGTTGAAAAGCAATTTTAGGAGTCTTTTATTTTATAAGTTTGTAAGTGTCATTTTTGTTTAAAGTGGAGTCTTTAAAAGTGGTCTTGTATTTTGTTTAAATAGGAGTCTTTTGAATATTCTAGGAAGTTTTTCTTTTTGCTTGCAAAAATTAGGAGTTTTTTTCCTAATTTTTTCTTGCATCATGGAGGCTTATCTTTCTCTTATAGATGTGATATTTCATATCTTATGGAATTGGGATACATTGTTGCAAAACGATAGAGAATAGATGAATGAATGTGTTGATAGGAGGGGCTCAAAGAGGGAGTGAGAGGAATAACAAGCGAGAAAAGATACTAGTTAGAATCTTTATATTTCATTATTCATTCAATGTGCTTTATAAAACCCTGAGGCACCTTTTATATCAAGTAGGGTTCTTAACAGTTAAAGTACGTCAAATCAGCAATAATAAAAATAATTTATTTATCACATAATTAAAACATTTACAAATGCTAATATAACATGTGACAAAGCTCAATTTGTAAACGAATATGATAACCGAATTTTATTAGATCATGATGACCCAATATCATTTCACATGGGTTAAAAGAAACTCTTCTCTGAAGAGTTGGTAGGTAGTGGTTATTGTGGTGGTGGAGGCAAAATAGTGGCATGGGTGTTGTTAATAATAACAACAATATGAACCTGATCACCTATGAAAGGAACGAGGTGTTTTGGCTAAGGACATTAATCTACATCCTGAGTCAAATCAATGGCCTAAGGTAGAATACCATGATAATAGAACTAGACAAAAAGTTTATTATGAAGAAGTAGGCAGTAACATAGGGAATTGATGAGCTTCATATGTAACCTTCGTGGTATCTAATGGGTAGTTTGGACGTTTCTATACGTTATGCCATATATTGCATAAGCACCAATAGGATAATCTAATGGTGATATTTGTGAAATGACAAAGTCAACTGATGATGCATCGAGCAACACTAATTAGGAAATAACTTGTATCTCCATTTGTGGAGTGTGTGAGGCACTAATAGTGGTTGAAGGATCGCATGATTGAAGTGCGCTGTCGGTCTTAAGTATAAGATCAACTATGCAAACTCTAGTTCAAACCCCATCATTTGGTACAGAGTCAAGCTCAACATTAATGTATTATCACACTAAAGCTTACACGCTCAAGAGGGTTTGGGACAATGAGTTTGGTGGAGTTGATATTGGAGTACTGGCTATAGAAGCAACTCTAGATTTTTTTATTTCTTTGAGGAACTCATCCATTTTAGCATTAAATATTTATTATAAGTCTTAGGTTGAGTGGAAACTTGATACGATTTAGTAGATGACTAATCAAAGTGCTTTGGCTTTTTATGAGCATCATAATGGAGATGAGGGTGAGCATGGCCTTGATATGATCAATCAAGATAATGATATTATTTAAGATTATAATGATATGATTTAGCATGATTATATCTAGAATGAGAATATGCATGATATGATTAATAATGATCATGATTCAAACCATATAATTTATCTCTTGATATTTTAAAGAGTGGGAATCATAAATATATTGATAAGAAGAGCAAGATTTATGATATCTCATGTCATGATAATGTTATCAAAAAGTTCTTGATACAAAGCATATGATACATGTATAAAAGGCATTAGCAAGGAGCATGTTTGCTAGCTTGGGTGGTGAGCATGAGACTGTATGAGCATGTCAATGAGTGTGGGTATGCGGGACACTCATGACTGACATGGAGGGTGATGCTCGGTGGCAGGGTTAGCCGTGTCAAGGTTTGGTGTGGGCTATGAGTGGATGTCGTACTGTGATGGGCATTGTTTAAATTTGCGCAATATAAGGTGCGGCTTGAGGCTTGCCCTAATACAATTTCAATAAAAAATGTCTCGAGATATGCCTTGAGCTTTTTTTGGGAGGCGTGCCTCACATCATTGGCATGATATGTACGCATCACCCTATTTATATATATTTTAATTAAAACTTACGTAAATCCTAAACTAAAGTCTGGAAGAAAGCACACCTTGCAATGCTAAGCCACAACAACTTCCTCTCTACTGTCTCAATCTTCAGCCCATTGTCTTTGCTGTCGTAGCCATACTATTGCATCTTGGGAGGAATTGGACTTCATGAGTGATGAGGTAGGGGAGAGCAATTTGTTATGATGATGACTCAAATGAAGATCCCCTCAGTGATGACAATGCAGATAACTTTTAAGTTATTTTCATATTATTTTATCTTTCTTTATAAATTAAATGCGGATTGGAACTGAGAAAGAAGGAATTTAGAGTTGAACTTGATGATATGTAATCTTTTTATGCAATTCCTATATTGTATGTTGTTTTGCTCCTGTGATGTTTGGATTTCAATTCTATTTCACGCAATTTATAAGTTGCCACTTTACGTCTTGTGAATTTTTATTTCATATATATGTCAATTTGTTACTTCATAGTTCCATATAAAGTTAATATATTATCCTTTAATATATTATTTCCTTATTATACAAAAAATTACTTTTAACCTTTATTTCATTTTACGCAATTTTTGAATTTTGAGGTTTATGTCTCAAAACATCTTGAGGCTTATGTCTTGCCTCACGGACGAAAAATGTCGTAATACCCAATTGCGCAATTTAGGCTTTGGTGATGGGTAAAGAGGGTCATAGAGTGAGCTACATTTAGGAAGTGCAATGTTGTGCAGGTTACACGAGTACATGTGGAATGACAAATGTGGATGCACTGGGATTAAGAAGCTTGCAGTATTTGATGCGGGCACAAACAGATGCACTAATGATTGAGGGGTTTGCGTGTAATAACTATAGTGAGAGGTAAAATGGACGAGCTGAAGAAGTGATTTGCTCTAATACCAATTGATAGTTGTTTTATATTGATAGTTAGGGAATAAAAGAATGGGTGAGAGATAGAAGAAGACATAAGTGGAGTGATAGTAGGGGAAATCTTAATATTTCATTTTCATTCATTGTTTCTAATACAACAACCCTAAGACACCTTATATATAAAGTTAGGTCTCTATATTTTTACTAAAGTATTTCTAACAAAAAATGCAAGATTATATGCATACTTATTACATTTGACTTTGATTTATTTATGCAAAGGTCAATGATCTATATAAAATAATGTGAAATATGCCAGCGATTTTTTTTTAATTTCCTTGTACATGATTTCATTTTGTTTATTTGTGTATGTAGACCTACACAGAGAGTTAAGCATTCTTTATTTTAAATACCATAGCTTATTCAAGTTAAATGATTGTTTTTTATGTCCTCATGTTTTATAGTTATAAGACCAATGAATTTTATTTAAAAAAATCCTTTGTCAGTAAGAGCTTTTGGTATCATTGACCTTGCTCAATATTTTCCCCATGACTGCTGCTTTTTGAACTCTGTTAAGTTTGAGAATTTTTTTGTCCCTAGTAGGTCTAGGATTGTATATACAGATCAATTATATTGATTTTTATTTTTGGAAACTTATATAGAACTGGTGAACAACGATAATCTCATTTTGTTATAGCTATATAGGTATATATGACGCTTCATTCTCTTAACTCGTATTTCTGCCTTATTATACTATTATTAGGTGAGTTTGTGGCAAGTGGCAGTGATGATGGGAGATTGTTTATTTGGGAAAAGAGAACAGGAAGACTGGTTAAAGTGCTTCTTGGAGATGACGCTGGTACAGAATAACACGTTAATGCACATTTTTTTTAATCCCTTTATGTATTAAAATGCCCTTTTTCTCTAGTTGTCAATTGTGTCCAGTGCCATCCATTTCATTGCACCATTGCAACTAGTGGAATTGATAATACAATCAAGGTAAATATTGCTACAGGACTCACCTCTTTTGTTCAATCATCTACTATAAAAGCTAGTGTTTGTTGGACATTATACAGATGTGGAGCCCACATGCTCAAGTTCCGTCGATAGTTGCAGGAGGTGTAGCAGGACCTGATTCAGCTGATGTTCTTAGTATCATGGAAAGTAATCAGCACAAGTTGTTGAATAATCGTGAGGCTTCTTTGTAAGATAACCAATTTTGAGCTTACTAGATTTTTTATTGATGCGTAAGACATAATTTCCACTATTCAGTATGGCATGATGATATTTTTATTATGTTAAATATATGAATTGCAAAGTTACATCTTCCATTCTGCAGGAAAACATTTTTCTGTAATATCTGTATTCGAATATGCTGAGGTTGTTTGTGTACAATGTTTTACGTGTTGTTTCATTTATTGTAAAATTCTGCTTATATCTCTTGAATTGTTTCACACCATTGTTTTCATATCTAGTAATGAAGGGATCATTACCGGGCTTTGGTAATTCTCTAGTTTTAAATGGTACCTGGTGTAAACTTTTTCACTCTATGGACATTTCCAACCCGTTCTATTTGATAAATTGGTACCTTCTTTTATGTTTACCATATAGCATGTGTGAACTTTGCTTAGATTGGTGGAAGCTAGTTCTTTACTTTTATTAGTTGATTTTACCTAAAAATATCAATTTTCTTTCAGCAAGCATTCACCATTCTCTTTATTCTTACTCTGATTTACAAAAAAATGTTAAATGTACCCGTATCTGATTTTGACAGGGATGCCAGTTATGGTATCATTTAACAATTTTTTTCTTTAATATATTTTTTCTTGCAGGCCTTTCGAGTTCCTGGAGAGATTTAGGATGCACGAGTTTGCTGAAGGAACTTTACGTCCTTTCGAATGTGCTCAGAGCTGATTTTTGTGTTCAAAGCTCTAGCAACTTTCCATTTTTTTACAAAGGTGCAATAAATGTCTTTTTGGTTATTTTAATTATGGACTTAGATCTAGATGTGACATGGTTTGTGTTTTATTATTGAATACGGGGTTCTATTGATGGATTGAATGATGTGCCAGATTATCTTTTGCTAGTTCACAAAATCTAGAATTGTGTGGTAGCCATCTTTCATTTTCATTTCATGATAATTTTGGTGGATAAATGGATGGATATTAGTTATTAGAATAGTTAAATTGAATTGCAAATCAACAAATGCCATTAGTATTATTTCTACCTATTTTATGAAATTTTGATGTAGTGGCATGACGATGGAAGATCTGTCGAAGCCTTTAGTATTAGCATATGAGGGTGAGTTTTGTACCGCATCATGTAGTTGAAAAATATATGGATTTAGAAATACTAAATGGTTGGCCTCACCTATAAGTCTAAGTTTGTTGTTGAAAGTGGGGTAGCCACTTATATAACCGACCTTATAGTGATCCTTTTTTGATGCACTCCCTTGCAAGTGGTATCATAACTGATGGTTTGGTGGGGATCAAATGCTTCATTCAATTTGCAGCTCCCTTGGCTCTTTCTCGACTTCTATGATGATTGAGCAAGATTCAAGGTTTGGTGAGTACCATGATGCCCCCATATGGCTGAGTTCTTGTTGCATGATTCTCAATGATGTTGAAATGTTTCTATTTGAGGAGAGTGATGGTCAATGTGGGGAACTTTCATATGAGGGAAGATTGTTTGTTTAGTCATAAATTTAATGGTTAAAAAATGATGTTGAAATGTTTCTATTAGAGGCAAGGGAGGTCGGAAGGACCGTAGTCGGCAGGAGACAGTGGTCAGAAAGACCGTTGTCCGGCGATGGAGGTCTGAAGGACCGTAGTAGGCAACGGAGGTTGGAAGGACCATAGTTGGCAGGAGATAGGGGTCAAAAAGACCGTTATCTTGTGCTAGAGGTTGGAAGGACTGTAGTAGGCTACGGAGGTTGAAAGAACTATAGTCGGCAGGAGATAAGGGTCAAAAAGACCGTTATCTGGAGATGGAGGTCGAAAGGACTGTAGTCGGCAGGAGATAGGGGTCAGAAAGACTATTATATGGTGATGGATGTTGGAAGTACTGTAGTCGGCAGGAGACAGGGGTCAGAAAGATCGTAGTCATAAGGCGGTGGTCCGGCGGAAGTCTGGGCGTTATTCGATGGTCTGGCGGAACTCCGACTTCTATCGGTGGTTTGGCGAAAGTTCAGGCCTCAGTCTGTGGTTCGACGGTGTTTTGGTAGAAATCTGACGTCAGGCGGTGATCCGGCAGCACTCCGGCGTCAGGCGGTGGTTCGGCGGAAGTTCGGCGTCAAGCGGTGGTCCTAACTGAAGTCTAGCGTCAGGCGACGGTTCGGCAAAACTTCTGCATCAGGTGGTGGTTTGGAAGAACTCCGGCGTCAGGTGGTGGTCCAATAGAACTCTGGCGTTAGGTGGTGGTCCGACAGAACTCCGACGTTAGGTGATGGTCCAGCAGAAGTTCGGCGTCAGGCGGTGGTCCTAACGGAAGTCCGACGTCAGGCGGTGGTCTGGCTAACTCCTGCGTTAGGTGGTGTGGTATGGCAGAACTACTGCGTCGGGCGGTGATCCGGCAGAACTCCTGCATCGGGCGGTGATCCGGCAGAACTCCGACGTCAGGTGGTGGTCCTAACGAAAGTCCGGCATCAAGCGTTGGTCCTGACAAAAGTCTGGCGTCATGCAGTGGTCCGGCAGAACTCCTGCGTTAGGTGGTGGTCCGGCAGAACTCTGACGTTGGGTGGTGGTCCGGCAGAACTCCAACGTCGGGTGGTGGTTTGGCGGAACTTCAGACGTCAGGTGGTGGTCCGGCGGAACTGTAGGCAATGGTCGAGGAGGAGCTAAGGGGCAAGAGCGATCTTCGATCTCTCTCTTGCTCTTTTACTTGGGGTCCCCTCTCAGGAGAAGTGAGGGGTCTATTTATAGATTTCCTAGAGTGTCATAACCCGTAAATAGGAGGAAGATCAAGGGTAAATGGGGAGTGGCTTGGATGGATGGCCGATGTTGAATCCCTTGATCGTGGACAATTCGCTAGATATTTGAAGGTCTTAATGATGTCGAAATTCAGTGATCTTAGGCTCATTGGATTCGTCTCGTCGAGCCGCTCGATTCGACTATAAGCATGTCACATTTGGAAACCGTTTGGAAATCCAAATTGTTGTTTGAACCATCCAACGCCGCTTCGGGTCCTTGATTTGGATCCATTTGGGCTCGGGTTGAGTCGAATTTGGTGTCGTTGGGTTCGTATTTCCGAGACGTTCAGTTCAACTGTAAGTTTGCTGAAATTGGAGTTTGGATGGTCCCTATTTTAATTTCGGAAGTTTCTAGCTTGAAGTTTGCCTCAAGATTTGTGCCCGATCAAGATAATTTTTTTATAATGTATCAACTTTCATATTTGAAAATTAACTTTATTAGTAGAATGTGGTGAGAATTCCTTTGGTCGCCATCCATTTTTAGTTCTCTAATTCCTTTTCGATACTATCCCAGAACTGCTAAAACTTGTGAAGACAAGCTTTCCCATTTCCGTTGTACCTCCTTCCTCACCAGTCTAAGGTTAAGACTTCATTCCATTTATTTTCTGAATGGTGAATGCATGGAATTTAAGCACTGCATTACTTCTTTGCTTCTGTTTGAAGATACACTTCTTATTTTCTATATAGTTTCACTTGATCAATGCTTTTTATTTAGTAATAACTCTTGAATTGTACCATTTGATATCACATAATTTGCATCTTTTTCACTTTGGGGAAGAACACATTCATGAATTTTACCAGTAAAGTAATTTATCCGTTATTTATTCGATCTTCTGTTTCTGCTTCTGTTTCTCCATTTATGAAAAGCGGGCTTGCATTGGAGGACTGAGGGAGGCTATTACCCAAAATAAGTCATCGGTTGTGTTCTGTTTTCTGGAGGATTACACTGTGATGGTTATTTATTCCTTCTACAATTCCTGATTGCAGTTGAGGACAAAAAGATCGAAAAACTTGGCTGAAGGCTTTTATAATTTTGGGCAAGCGAGCTGATTTGATTGGTTTTGTTTATAACTATTGCACCTCGTTAGTAGTCTTTGAGGTTTGATGTAAATAATGTGTGTAAACTGTTCTTAGTGTTGTTAAGGAGCAATTATTACGTCCGGTCAAATCCGAACGTATCTGAATGTATACCGAGCAATACCGAGTTTCAGGTGACGTGGCGCATGGTTATTGGTCTATGAACGCGTTCGATCGACCGGACGTAATAATTTCTCGTTGTTAAGGCTCTGTATTCAAATCTTTCAATCTCTTGTGAATATATTGGATGGGCAAAGAAAAATGATTTGAGCCGTTGAAACTCTGCCTAAATAATGTTCATTATTACAAGTGCTGCGCCTCAGAATTGACTGTATTCGGTTAATGCAGCGAAGTCCAAAAGCATGTAAAGAGTTAGTGTGAAAAGCGAAGGCTTTGAGTTGTGAAAGAAAGGGATGGTGGGAATCTTTTTTTATCTATATTTTATTTTTTTTAATTAATTGTTGGGGAAAAAATTGGCATATTATTTGTTTATAAAGCCCTTTGATTATAATGTAAATATAAAGTTTTAAGTAAATGTGAAGTAAGAGTATTAGGTTTTATGGGGGATATTTTTTTACCGCTTTGTTTTTTAGATTGTAAATACAGTTTTTATTTGATCATTAGTTTTTCATTGCTTTTAATATTTTTTTTAGCTAGGAAATTGTTTTATACAATTGTTGCTTTCTTCATAGCAATTTTATAATTACTTTTATAAAAATCGGAGATGTCGTGAATGGATGCTTAGAGGACTATAAAAATGCTTGTTGTCGATCAAGTGGCGAAAGAAAATTAAAGGGTATATGAAGTGCTTTTGTTTGAATGCTAAGGCTTCGTTTGAGGCAATTTTCTTAATGTTTTTTAAAGTGATTTTCTAATATAATAATTTTTATTTTGAAAAATTTTGTATTAGAAAGTTGCTTTAAAAAATAATAAAAAATTGTCGAAAACAAAGTCTAAAATTTTGTTTGGGATGATTTTTTTATTGCTATTTTAAGTAGCACGAAAGTAAACCAAATGAAGCCAAAAATTTCAATTGGGATAGTTTTTTATTGTTTTTTTAAAGAATTTTTTTTACTAGAAATTCACTATTTTTAAGAATTTTTTGTACCAGAATTTTTTTTTTTGGTATTAGAAATTTTTTGTTTTTAAGGATTTTATTGTAGAAATTAGTAAAAAAATTGTTTCAAATAAAATTGATATTCCTATTGAAGAGTCTTTTAATTGAGTGTTATTTTAGAAAAATAATATATCATCTTAAAGTATCTTTTAACATTCTTTATAAATTTTAAATGATTAAATAAGTTGAAAGTATTTTTCTTTTTTACACTTTGTTTTAAATTTTAAATATTTAAAATTAATGATGATTGATAATAACTTCACTCTTTCTATGGATTTTCATCTCAAAGAAGTAGAATGACTTTAGATACATTATTTTATTTTTGTATTTATCAATTAACATAATTATTTTATGCGATGAAAATTATATTTGAATTGATCTTTATTAATTTTTATGATGATTTAATTATTATTAATTATACTTAAAATACAAAAGATGATTGAGCAGTAAATGGATTTCCTCTTAAATGAGTTCTAATTTTATTATTATGCTTTTATTTTTTAAGCAAAGCTAGAGCTTCTCATTAGAAATACAAACATGGAATGTATGCCCCTCTAAATGTTAATATTTTCAATGGATACCCTTAGTTTATCAGGCAATTATTTTGGTCCATCAGATCAAAAGAATTAGTCATTTGTAAATCTTAAGCAGAAATCTTATGTTATAAATTATATAGAAATTTAAAAATTATTAAATTTATTTAGACATTAATGTATTAAATTTATTTAGACATTAATGTATTATATATATATAGCACAGTTTTTAAAGCAAATTCAGCACTTACGACCTTATCTTTATACAATTATTTTTTAATATTAAAATAAAATATTTAATATTTCGATCTAAATTTATAATTGTAAAAAGAAAGGGCGATTCTTTCGTGATGTGATTGAATCAACCATGTTTGTTTGTTTTTTTTTGCAAAATCAATCTTTTTTTCATAAATTGAACCCCCATACATAATTAAATGCAAGACTGACATGAATAATTATGCAATGCAATTATAATTATAAATATAAAGTTACACTCTCTTAATAAATTGATAGAGATATATAATGGATAATTGTAACAAATAATTTTTTAATGAATGAGTGATTATTAGGTAGTTAATATGTTCTACTCACTCGTTAGAGTGTAGGGCTGTAAATGAGTCAAGCAGAGCTCGAGTCACCGCTAATTTGAGCTTAAGCTTGAGCTCGGACTTTATTCTACGAGTTCCAGCCAGCTCATGAGCTCGCTCTTTTGTTATGAAAAAGAGAAAATAATTATGATTAAGTCATTATTATAATAAAATAATAAGAATAATGAAAAACTTGAAGATTATTGACAAAGAATCCCTTAATATAAGAAATTAAAAAATAAATTTCAAATATTTTTTATAATGTTATACTTAAATATTTAAACACTAATATATATACTTTAAGTGCATTTAATATTTATATATTTTAAGCACTCCAACTCATGCGCTAATGAGACGAGTCAAGGTTGCCTCAAATTTGATTCGTTAAGTCATCAACCATTTATCGAGTCAAGCTCGAGCCAGCTCACGATTTGACTTTGTTAAGTTATATCGTTATTAGATATTTAATATGCTCAATAGGTCTTAAGGAGGGAGAGAGAGAGAGAGAGAGAGAGAGAGAGAGAGAGAGAGAGTATGAAAGTGAGAATATTATTATCACTTAGATTACTCTTTGTATAAGATCCCCAACTTTATTAAAAAAAACTATAGCATTACTCATAATGATACTTAGAGAGGCCCAAATCGTATTGTAAATATCACCAAATCCTTTTCCCATGAAGTTTTTTATTTTTATTTTTTTAATGGAATTGTTCTAATTAGTTTGCCTTTTTTAAGGCTTCTTTTTTTTTTTGTAGTTTTTATAATTTTTTTTTGTTTTTCTTACAAAATTATTGTAATTTTTCTTCTAAGCATTTTATTTTTAATGAAATTGCTCATAATTTTTCCTAATTTTCAAAAAAAAAAAAAAAAGGCATTCCATTCTTGCCCAAGTCAATCACGCTGGAATTGTCAAATTGATCAATTCCACCCATTTATTAGCTATCCAGAGTATTTTTCCATACCCTTTCCCTTTGCTTCAACGTCTGTGAGGCCAGTTCATCAGACCCTCTTTTCCTCCCATAAGAGAACAAATTTTCATTAATATAATATATATTTTTTGAAGAGACTTTTTTAAAGAGAGTAAGGGAAGTGTAAATTATGAGTGAAGTGTTGGAATGAAAAAGGGATTTTGGAACAAGAAAAGGCTAAAGAGAAAGAGATAGGAAGAAAAAAAATTAGAATTTTATTTCTCACTTTTTGGCTTGATACAAACTCAAATACATCACCACTATTTATACTAGTAGTACACGGTTAGGATTATACCAACACATTTCAATCTAATTGTTACAAATGTCTCTCTAGAGTATTCTCATATCTCATATCATAAATGATATTAAATGCATATTTTAGACTTTTCTAACAATTACTACTTAAATGACTCTCTAGAGTATTCTCACATCTCCTATAAATTCATATGACTTTTCAATAGATTTCTAAAGTCTTCTTTAATAGGTTTCTCTAGATTATGGACTTCAATCAAAAGCCCAAATAATTTTCCCCCTTAAACTTAATTTTGTGACTCCAAGAAAATTTCTCATATTGATATAATCTTCATACTTGAGTGGCTTGGTGAAGATGTCAGCAATCTATTCTTGTGACTTCACATATTATTCCGCTTGCACTTCCTTCCTTGTAATGCATTATCTGATATAGTGATAACGTGTATCAATGTGCTTGTTTCTATCATGAAAAAGGCTAATGCTATTGTAGACTTATTATCAACATGAATCTTCGTTGCTTCTACTTGAGGCAAGCTTAATTCTTTTAATAAGTTTTGGAGCCAAATTGCATGACAAACACAAGATGTTAAAGCTACATATTCTACTTCACAAGTAGACAGACTGACAATTGGTTGTTTCTTTGACATCCAGGTGAAAGATGTATCTTTCATGAAGAACACATAACTAGTGGTGCTCTTTCTATCATCCATATTGCCAGCCCAATCACTGTCGCTATATCCTACAAGTCTAAAATCATTAGATGATGAATAGAGTAAGCCAAAGTGAATTATACCTTTGATATAACATAGGATTCTTTTAGCAGTTTTTAAGTGGCTAGTGGTTGGATTCTCCATATAGCAACAGACAAGTCTGACAGCATAGAGAATATTAGGCCTTGTACATGTTAAGTAGCGCAAACTCCCAATCAGGCTCTTGAAAAATATAGGATCAAATCTTTCTCCTTCATCATGCTTTGATAGCTTGACTCCACATTCAATAGGAGTATTTATAGGTTTGCAATTATCCATCTTGAATTTCTTCAGCATCTCCTTTGCATAGCTTTCTTGTGAGATAAATATTCCATCTTCCATTTAATGGACTTAAATGCCCAAATAATAGGCCATGAGCCCAATATTAGTCATCTCAAATTTCTTAGTTATTGCTTGTTTGAATTCTTCAAACATCATTTGATTACTTTCGGTGAAGATCAAATCATCAATGTGCAAGCAAACGATTAAAACATCTTTATTCTTATTCTTGATATAAAGAGCATGTTCATAAGGGCATTTTAAAAAACCTTTGTCTTGCAGGTACTTATCTATCTGACTATTCCATGCTCTTGGTGCTTGTTTCAACCCATAGAGCGCCTTCTTTAGCTTGAGAACTTTGTCTTTATGCCCTTTGACTTCGTATCCAAGTGGTTGTTGAATATATACTTCTTCTTCAAGAACTCCATTCAAGAAGGCTGGTTTTATATCCATTTGATGTATCTTCCATTTATTTTGAGCTGCTAAGGAAATGATTAGTCTAATCATTTCTAAGTGAGCAACATCAAATATCTCATCATAGTCGATGCCGGCTCTTTGACTATAACCTTTTGCCACTAGTCTTGCCTTGTATCTTTCAATTTCTTCTTTAGCATTCTTCTTTGCTTTGTACACCCATTTCACGCCAGTTGCCTTGTGGCTGTGAGGAAGTGAAGTCAGCTCCTATGTGTCGTTCTTCTCGATTGCCTTAATTTCTTCATCCATAGCATCCTTCCACTCTTTATTTTGTATGGCTTCTTGAAAATTCATGGGCTCACAGTCTGCAAAGAGGCAAAAGAGTGTAAGATTTTCTTGATTCTCTGTTACCTCATATATATCTCTTAAGCTCCTGAATTGTGGTATTCTTTCACTCAAGCTTTCTTGATTATTTGTAGTTAATGTTGCTGGGGGAGAAGTAGGCTCCTCTCTTGCTTGCTCCATCCTTGGTTGCTCCGTATCTTCTTCTTCATACTTGTAATATTTCTCATATGATCCCCAGTCCCATTCTCCTTCTTCATTGAATATAACATCTCTACTGATAATTATCTTTTCAATATTTAGATTGTATAGCTTGTATCATTTTGAGTTGTTGTCGTAGCCGATGAAAATGAACTTCTCACTTTTGTCATCTAACTTACTTTTTTTCATATCATGTACTTGCACATGAACTATGCTTCCAAAAACCTTTAAGTGGGAGATGCCGGGCTTTCTTTTGCTCCATGCTTCTTGTGGAGTCATTCCCCACACACTTCTTGTTGGTGAACGGTTGGCCAAATAAGCTACACAGGAGACTACTTCTGCCCAAAATTCCTTCGGCGGCCTCTTACTTTTGAGCATACTCCTCGCCATGTCAACGATGATTCTGTTCTTTCTTTCTGCTACTCCATTTTGTTAAGGGGACCCTGGGACAGTTAGATCTTGATGTATCCCATTAGCATCACAAAATTTTTGAAATTCTTTTGAAGTGAATTCTCCTCCTTGATCCGATTGCATAGCCTTGATTTTGAGTCCACTTTCTTTCTCGACGACGACCTTGAATTTCTTGAATATGCCGAATACCTCTAATTTTTGCTTCAAAAAGTATACCCATATTTTTCGTGAGAAATCATCAATGAATAAAAGAATGTAGTTACTCTTAACGAGTGAGCATCACTTTATTGGTCAACATACATCTATATGTATGAGCTCCAATGGCTTTCGATCTCTCGAACTTGATTCTCTTGGAAAACTTTTTCTAAAATGCTTCCCAATTCGACATGCTTCACACATTTGATTAGGATGCTTGATGCATGAAAGACCTCTCACCATCTCTTTTTTTGCAAGCAGCTTAAGTCCTTCAAAGTTGAGATGATCAAATCGAATATGCCATAACCAAGAGACATCTTTATAACAAGCTTTGAGGCACTTGGCAACATCTTTTTGAATGTTTAGCAAAAACATTCTATTTCCTGACATTGGGACGTTCACAATTAAAATGTCAATATTATATTTTAAGAAAAGATAATTATTTTTTAAATGAATATCATATCCTTTCTCCAAAAGTTGTCCCAAACTTAAAATATTACTCTTCATATTTGGTGCAAAATAGACATTAGAAATAAATTGATGCTTTTCTTTCTTCAAGCGAATAAGGATGTTACCTTTACCTTTTACTTCTATTTTTGAGTCATCTCTGAAAGATACATTGCCGCCCATCATTTCATCAAGCTCCACGAACATGCTCATTATATTTTTCTGCACATATGATTACTTGCTCTAGTGTCTAGGTACCACGTTCCATCTTCACAACTTTCATTATTTTTGTAGGCTAACAATGATGTGTTGTCTTCTTTTCTTTCTTCTTCTACGTAGTTGACCCTTTCATTCACTTTATATTTGGGCACTTTACATTCTTTAGCGTAATGCCCAAATTTGTTATAATTATAGCACTTAACTTGAGATTTCTCGTACCTTGAGTTTGAGCATCCTCTTCCTCACCCTCTTGTTGAATTTTATTCTCTTTCTTGATTATTGTTGTTGAAATTTCTTTCTTGTTCATGAGTTACTCTACTGTCATCTCTTGTAGAAATGGAAAAAGCTTGCAATGAACCCAAGAGTTGCTCTACTGTCATCTCTTGTAGATCTTTTGTCTCCTCGATGATAGTTGTGATACTATTAAATCTTGATTCTTGTGATCAAAGAATCTTCTCAATGATAGTCACATCTTCTAGCTTCTCACCATTTTTTTAGTTGATTAGAAATGGAAAAAACTCTTAAAAAATAATCGGAGACCGTCTCGCCTTCTTTCATTTGCAAGACGTCAAATTGTCTTCTTAACATTTGAAGACGTACCTTTTTAACCTTCTCTTCTCCCTTGTATGATACTTGGAGCTTCTCCCACGCTTGTTTGGCCGATGTAGCACTTGATATTTTCTCAAATCCATCATCATCTAATATTTGATAGATGAGGAAGAGGGCCTTTTAGTCTCTCTTTCTTGAATATCTTAAACTCTCTTTCTATGTTAAGAATAGAATGGACTCGTCGCTTGGCTCATCGTAGCTTTTCTCTATAATCTCCCAAACGTCATGCGCTCCAAGAAGTGCCTTCATCTTTATACTCCAATTATCATAATCTGTTGTCTTGAGCAATGGAACTTGGAAGGAAGCCATGCCTCAATTCGTCATCTTTAGAAAGGAACTTGGCTCTGATACCACTTTGTTAGAATGAAAAGGGGCTTTTGGAACAAGAGAAGGCTAAAGAGAAAGATTAAGGAAAAAAAATAGAATTTTATTTCTCACTTTTTGGCTTGATATAAACTCAAATACATCACCACTATTTATACTAGTAGTACACCGTTAAGATTATGCCAACACATTTCAATCTAATGATTACAAATGACTCTTTAGAGTATTCTCATATCTCCTATCATAAATGATATTAAATGCATATTCTAGACTTTTCTAACAATTACTCCTTAAATGACTCTCTAGAGTATTCTCATATCTCCTATAAATGCATATTACTTTTCAATAGATTTCTAGAATCTTTTTTAATAGATTTATCTAGATTATGGGCTTCAATCAAAAGCCCAAATAATAGCATCCCAAATTAAGTTTAATTTCCAACATGAAGTTGCTAGAAGATTTTATGCAGAGTATTTTTTTGAAGAAAACCTCAAATATTTTGATGCAGTGCGTTAATGTTGTGAAAATCGTCAAATAATTTGATATTGACACTTTTCACAAGTGGGTGAAAACCTCAAAACTATTATCATAGTTCTCACAAGAAAGAGAGACCGGAGAGTAGTAGAGAAAGAAATATTCTCTCCCCTCATCTCTCTCTATCTTCTCTTCTCTCTTTTTATCTCTCTTCCCATCTCACTCTCCTCTTCAGATCCTATCTCTTTCTTATCATGTCTCTCTCTATCCCATTCTCTCTCTCTCTCTCTCTCTCTCTCTCTTCCCATGTTTCTGCCCCCATTTATCACTCTCATACACACCCTGTCTTTCTCTTTGTGCGAATTGCATCAATTATTTTGGTTTTCCCCTGATGTGTGAATAATGCTTACGACAAATTAATTGGCAATTTCCGCAATATGAACACGCCGTGCCACAATTTTTTGACATTTTCTTCAAAAAAAAAAAGTATGTGCTAAATTCTTTAGCGACTTCACTCCTTTTTAAATTTCGACTGAAATACACTCTCTATCATAATCGAAACTTAACACATTCCTCCTTAAAAAAAGTTATGTTATGAAGCTTAACATAATGTATTTGCATGTATTTTGCACTCAATTTATTTTAAAAAATAATACTGAAATATAAAAAAAAAAAAAAGAAGAGGCTCGCAATTTTCTTCAGAAATTGTGGCCTGCTTGATTTTATTTTTGTCTTTTATTAATAAAAAAGGCCGGAAATTAAAGGGTAAAAAAATGTAATTATGCCTCCTTAGGCTATAATTTTAATAAAATTTATTACTGTTATTTATGATGTATTTATAACAGCTCTTTTCATAGTCTTAATTTTTTAAATTTTCAAAATTTTATGCAAAATAACTCTACTAACTATAAGTCTATAATGGTTATAATAAGGCCTCGTTTGATTAGGCTTTTTTTCTCCGTTTCCGTTTGAATAAGCCGAAATCAATTAGTATTTACTGTTTGGAATCAAAGCTTAACAATAATTCCTTTTTAATAAACATCATTTTTTTGGCGGTTACAAAATTCTTTTCGTATCTGCTTCTTCGGTCACAAAACGGAGTTTCGGTCACAAAATGTCTTTTATAATAAAATCTCAAAAGCAAAACTCCTAAACAAACAATTTAAAATTACTTTCAAGTATTAATAAGCACTTTTAAAAATATTAGTCAAACATATCTCATTATTGAAACTCCATTTTATTGAACGGCTTTTTCTCAATCTCCTTTTCTAAAACTCATTTTTATGAAAGCATAAACCGAATCAAACGAAGCCTAAATCTCCTCATTTTAAAAAAAAAATATTATCTCAAAAGAATTTTTAAAAACTTTCATTCTTACCCTAATTTTACATAGCCACCACCATTTTTTTCGCAAACTAAAAAAATATAACCTACCATAATTTTTCTCACAAATTTTAAAATATCATAAAATGTTTATAAAAAAAATTATTATTAACAATTATTTTACAATTAATTTTACAGAGCAATCATGAAAGGACCATTTTTTTCATCTCTCTTAAATTATAATAATTTTATTTTATTTAATAACAACTGTCTAATATTATTTTCTCAAGTGAAATACTATAAATAGTGGTATTTATCTAAATACACGAATCACTCGCACTTCTCTTCCTCCTCTCCTCCTCTTCATCTCCTCCTCCCTATAGAGGAGGGAAGAGAAAAAAGTGAAAGAGAGAGTGAGAGAGTGTGTGAGAAAAATATCATGGCTAGCAAACTCGCCGGAGCCTCGCCGACGCCGGCAACATCATCTCCTCCTCGGCCGCCGGCAGTCTGTTGCATGTGCGGCGATCACGGTCTAGCCCGTGAGCTCTTCCGGTGCAGAGTCTGCTTCTTCCGGTCTCAGCACAAGTATATTTCCCTTACCTAAGCCTTCAACCCATCAATCTCTTCAGTCTCTCTTGATTTTTATTTGATCAATTAGCCATAATGATAAGATTAATTGCCAGAGATTAAACAAAAAAATTAAAAAATGAATCTTGATGACCAGGAAAACTATCATTAAAATTACAACATAATTGTAAACAAAATAGAAATGACAGTTTTACCTTCTAGCAATCCTTTCATTACAGTTTCAAAACTTTTAGTGAGGTGCTCGATTTTCATAATAAATTTCTTCTGGAGCTTCTCGGAACAAAATCTTTCAGAAACTTCTAACAGAATACTTTTTTCTCATTATAAATTCGAAAATCAATCAAATAATTTTTTTTACACCATTACATAAAATCACAGAAAACAAGTAGATGACATTATTTAAAAGAATTATTATTGTTGAAAACACAAAATTCATGAAAAAAATAAATACATACCAACCAAAATTACAGCTTCAGATCGATCAACGCCAATTTAATTATTTTCCCTGCGATCATCAAACAGATACTGTAGCAATCTCTACCCCAAAGCACGCTCTTATCAAACTTGCAACTGGTGTTTAAGGGAAGATATAAGAAGCAGTAAGCTCTCTTTGGAAGCAGAACTGTCCATCGCCGGCAATAATATCTCAGCACTACTTTTGACGCCGGTTGCCCAAAGAAGCAGTGGCTGCGGAAACTTCACCGCCGGCGGAGGACTAAAGCTCACCCAGCGGTCTTTTGCTCCGTTGCTCAGTAAGCCGGCGAAGAAGCAAAGATTAATGCCGGCGGAGCGGCCGCAAAGTAGTGGGAATAGGAAGGGGAGGCAGGTGTTCAGAGGTAAGGTTAGGAGGTATAAACTCTTGGAAGAGGTCATTTGTTAAAGATAAGAGGGTATTGGAAATGGAAAAACAAATGTGAAGTAAAAAGAGGAAGAAAAAGAAAGGCTAATATATATTTAGTTAGTACTTATTTTTAATTTCTTAATTAATTAGGCCTTTCTCATGATTATTACGTTTCAATTTTATAATAAAGCTTAAATTATTTTAATTGAATTTTTGTGTATTTTATTTTGGGATTGATGTTGTGGCATTTGTCTCTATGGTGATTGATTGAGGGCTTTGGCTTTATTAAATAGATTTTAGGCTTTATGATTTTTATTTTTCTAATTTTATTTTTTAGGTTGATGATTAAGATTTATATGGGTGTATTTGTATTTTGGCACTTAAGTTTACAAAAAAAAAAAAATTGTATTTTTAAAGGAGTTTAGGATTGTTTACTTGGGTTATATTTTTTATAAAAAGATAATTAAAATATATGACTGAAAAATTATCTGATGATGAAGTTGTAATTATAAAAAGAAATATTATTATTATTATTTTTGGGATACAAAATGTTTACATTTCTTAAAAAGAATGATGAGAAGGTGTAATTATATATATATAAAGAAATTATAAAAAATGTTGAGTATGTGATAAAATTAAGAATTTTAAAACAAGGAAGAGTTAATTAAAAATTAGTTGGAGCAAATACTATGAAAGATATCTAAAGGATTGTGATAATAAACTCAAATATTTTGAGCATATAATACTAAATTGTAAAATGTCCCAAAAAAAAAAAAAGAAGCTAAAACTAATGCAAAAACTCAACATATGTTGAACAAAGATGACAAGTTTGTACTAAAACATGAAAATATTTGCTTATAATAGAATTTTTATCTCATCCATTACTTATCAAGAAGGAATAAGAATGAGAATGCATAAAGAAGATTCAAAGTTGGTTGGGCTATGCCCCCAATTTTCCCAAAAAAAAAAAGATTCAAGGTTGGGATAAGACTAATGGTGATGTTGATGAGAAGAGAATAATTCTTACTTGGAGTTATTTTCTTGTGCAATAGAAGTTCATAAGAAATGATCTCAATAGGATTAGATGAGTTGGGGAGAAGAGTACTTTAACATTCACAAATTAAATTTAAGTTTCGTTTCGGACAGCTTTTTTAATGTTTTCTAAAACAACTTTTTAGAACAAAACTTTTAGTTCAAAAAAATTTTGTTCTAAAAAACTAGTTTAGAAAACAGTAAAAAAGCTATCACAAATGAAGCCTTAAAATCATGGTAGTGTTACATATTTTATTAGATCTCATTAGTCACGGCCCTTCATTATGCATTCCCACCATGTCTAGAACATCAAATGTGAGAGGGCATTAGGGCTAGTTTCTCTTGAACACATAAAGAGTTACCATTTAATCATGATATATGGTTGTAAATTAGCTTGATTGAGCCATACTATGTGACTCAATTTCATTTTTTGTATTTTTTTTTATCAAGAGCCATTATGAACATTTTGTTCAAGTTTTTATTACTTTTTTTGTTGAGCTTGAGCCTTAATGAAACTTTTATTAAGCTTAGCAAATTAACTATTTATATGATATTAATGATTCAAATAAAAGCTTAATTACTATCAATTAATATGTTCATAAAATAAAATAAAAATCACTGAGCTTTAATTCTAATACTTTATTAATTAAAACATAGATTTTAAAACTATATGTTTAGTATATGTTCAATTTTTATTATTAACACTAATAGAAAGAAAAATTAAAAATTTAAGTGGCCCATTTAATTATCTTTTGAATATTTTCATCATCGTTATATTCTAACAATATAGATAATTTTTGAGGTTCATAGAATATAAAAAATGTATATAATAGCATATAATAAGATATTAATAAATTAATAAATTGTGATTGAATAAGCATATAATGGAGTTTTTAGTGAGCCACTTATTGAATAATACAATAGCATGTCTATAAACATAAATGAACAAAAAATTATTTTCTAGTTTATTTATTTAGATGTTGAGCTTTAAAAAATATATCCAAAAATCTATAATTATTTAAATAAATAAACATAAAAGAGTCTTGTATGAATGAATGTGAAGTTATTCATCAAATGTGCTTGCTAACTTATTAACTCAAAGGTTTTCCTAAAATGCATTTATGCTATCTAAGATTTTGTTTGGGATAGCTTTATTACTGCTTTTAAATTAAGCAGTTTTTAGTGCAAAAATTTCTTGTTCTAAAAATTTTTATACTAAAGTTGTTTTAGAAAGCAATATAAAAACTGTCCCAGACAAAGCCGAATATTAAAACTTTCATTGTGGTCTCTCTTCATACCAAGAACCAGAAAAAAAAATTGCATAAAGAGCTCATGATGCAAATTTATATTTTACAAAAAAAAAAAAGTAATAAAGATTAAAATAGAAAAAAAAGACATTTTTTTTCTTGTAGTACAAAATAGTTAATTTGTAGTATTATTCAAATATCGTATATTTTTAGTCATTTTGCTTTCATTGATCATTTGTCTTATAATTTTTATGATAAAAAAGTAAATTAAAGGGTCCCAAATATGTGAATAGTAGTTGCTACATATCATAGTGTGGGGGCAATGTTTGAGATATAGATCTATGGTAGTTGACAGATCCTATCACAATTATTGTCTGAATTTGTTGTTAGTGGTAGATGGAAATCACCTCAGAAGTGTGCTAACTTCTTTTTCTAGCACCTAATCAAATCAACCATCATAATTAGGAAAACTATAATAGCTCAATCACAATCAAATTGGCAATGCAATTATACAAGTTTGGAGCAATTATAATGGATTAATAAAAGAATTTGTATTAGTTTTATGAAGGGATTGGGATTTTATTAAATTACTATGAATTATAATAAGTTTCTTTTAGTTTATTGGCATTAAAAGTAAGAAAAATCAAATTATGAATCTAATTATTGTTTTTATTTGAACATTTAATTAAAAAAGAAAGTGTATTAAGAATGTTATAAAAGATGTGTTTACATTATCAAAAGGAAAAGCTCCTAATAGTAAAAATTGTTTGTGGTGAAATCAAAATGTGTAAGGAAAAAAAATAAAATAAAAAGCTTTGTTATAAATATTCATTTAGATTTAAAAGCTCAAAAAATTGAGAAAGATAAAGGGACTCATAAGGAATATATATAAGAAAATAATATACGATGTCAAGAACTTAATTTTTAATGATTTATATACTAAATTAGATATTAGGGGGCTAATGATGAATGCATAAGTTAACTAAGCCTAGAAATAAGAGAGAATGATTTAGTTCAAAATAAGTGTATTAAGGATGAATATAAAAAAGTATTTTTATTAAAAAAATAAAATTCAACAAAGGTGTATGCGATTTTTCGATAAATTTTTTCAATAACGATTGAAATAATATGATAGATTTTAGTGACCTTAGATTCCTAAATAAAAATAGATATTTTTATTTTTTCGTCATATTAGTAAAACTTTAAATAAAATAAATTGTTTAAAGGCTGTTAAACCTGAAGAAAGGCGTGAAATGCTTATGAGTTGAAGGAATTTTTTGACTTAAGAAACTTTTTAATATTATTTTGAAGACTAAAAAAAATATTTTTTATTTTATTATTAAAGTAATAAAATTCATCTTGGTTAAAATTAAATCACCATGACCTAATAATTCATTTAGTTGAAAATTTTCCCAAATGATTGATCAAATAGGAAAATTGGCATGTTGGTCTATGAACTGTTCATTAACGTTTTCTTATGTGGTCACTATCAGCCAGTGATTTTGGCCTGTGAATTTGGACGAATCAATCCGCCAAAAAAATAGTCTAAGACAGTAAATTGCTGCAGGTTACTTAACGCTAATGGATTCCGTAAATAGTAAATACAGCTGCAATTACTCTATAGTTATATTAAAATTAAAATTATTGGTGGACTCAAAAAGGCTGATGCTTTACACATACAAAATATTATGGTCTCGGATACTTACAACCTGTGTCTTGCATTTAATGAAACAGTCTCGCATCTATTTTTTGAATGTGAATATTCATTTTCTGTTCTCATCGCCTTAATACCTGGACTGCAAAGTTTTCTTTTTAGACTTACTATTATGTAGGTATTTGAATGGTTTAAAAGCAAACACAAAGGCAACAAGAAGGTTAAAAACTTCTTTTATGTGATTATATGCTGTATTATATATCATATCTAGAAAGAGAGGAATGATAGAAGGTTTGGAAATATTTTTAACTGCCATACGACATTGATTTACAATGTTAGAAGGAACATTTCTGAGAAAATTGCAAAATGGGATAATACTTTGGAATATATGGAATTCATGTAAGTTGGTGGGTTGCTGCTATGTTGGATCTAGTTCTTTCTATGCCCATTCGCTGCGATCATCTACATAAGCCTTACCTGGACAATGATGAAGCTCCCGTTTTTGGTTCCCTTAGACGGTCTTCGGGCAACCAGGGAATACTGAATATTTCATGCCTTAATATGTATTATCTGAGTCCAGGTTTTTATAGGCTTGGGAGCTCTTTTTTGGTGGGATTCGTTCTACATACATTACAACCAGTTTTGTCTTTATGGTTGTTTGGCTCACTTGCTGAGTGATTTACTTTTGCTATTTCTTTGTTATTTGCTATTTCTTTCTGCAGCTATGGCTGATAGTTTGTAATAGGGTTTTCATTTGATGCAACTTTTTTATGCTGATAAGGTTTTGTTGATTGTTACTGATATGTTGTGTGGTAGCAGTCAATCTATTTTTTGTATTCATTTAGATTGAATGAAATGGGCTTAGGCACCAATTTTTCCCAAAAAAAAATAAAATAAATAAAATAAATATATTATTATTATTTTATTAAACAAATTTTATTTTGGTTTCAATAACACTGTCCTCAAGTAAACATATTTTTTTAGATATTTTTATAGTAAAAAAATATTATTATAATCAGAGTAAGTAAGAGTTTATTTGAGATTATTGTAATTTTTTATGACATTGGTTGTGAAGTTATTGTGTAGAAAATAACTTTATTATTATGTTCGAAAAAACAATTTTTCATCATAGAATTTTTTGAAAAGCATTGAAGATACAACAAGAAAGTAATTGCCAAACAAAAATATTATTACTATTTGAAAAACAAAATAGTCAAAAAACTATCTCAAATAGAACCTAAGTTATTTTTCTCATAACAATTTCATAAATAATTTTA